TAAATCGCTTATCCGTCTTTTTAGAAGACATTACTGGTCGTAGGCTATTCGCTATTGCGCCAAGTTGCTTCATTGAAACCAAAATAGTGATAATGGCAGAAGATAATTTTTAAAATCCATAAATAAGAAAAAGTACAGGATATAGTGCTGAGAATGGTAACGATGATATAGACCAGGGCTTCTCAACCCAGGGGTCGCCAAAATCATATTTGGGGTCGCGAACCGACTAAATCCCAAATTATGCATTTCTTAGCGATTTTAGCGCACAGGTGGGGGAGCCTGTCGAACTTCGAATAGTGCTTGGGGTCGTGAATGGTATGATGGTGATTTTTTTGGTCGCGCGTGAAAAAGGTTGGGAAGCCCTGGTATAGACAAAATATCCGAATATCCAATCATGACAAAAATTGATTTTTTCCGAGAAGGGAATGAAAAAGCGGGGATGGGAATAAAAAAGCACATCGATCATGACATATCGAACGTTGATATTGGCAGCGAAAACTATTTTTAAAGAAGGGAATTCTGCATGAGAGAAGACTTGTCCGCCTCATGAATGCCTCCGGAGATTCACACGTTCTAAAGACGGATTTTCATATCCTGAAAGCCAGGCTTTTCTTTTCCATCAACGGCAGAGAATGAAAACTGGAAGGGCTCTCTTAGGGCCCTCCCATAAATAAGGCAAAGAGGATCGTATCAGCGTCCTATTCTGTTATTCCTGGAAAATTTCATGGAGCCTTTCATCTATTTCTATTCATTGAATGCTCATGGTCATTCAAAAGAGACAGGCCGATAATGCATAATTGAATCCGTCTTCTCCCAAGTGGAAGACAGGCTATATCGCGTGTATGCCTGAATAATATAATGGAAGACGATCTAATCGACTTGAAAACCCTTCTCTGGGGAACCATGGCGATTATAAAATTGGTGACGAGATCGAGATGACTGATACAAATGAAACTGTATTTGTTTCGAGGAATCAATTGAAGAATTAAAAAAATATATAGGCTAATATTTTAACCATCGATTTGGCAGTCACGGATCTCGTGAGCAGTGGCGTGCTCCCGCCTGGGATACGTTTTACAGGTTCGATTCTCAAAAAAAAAATTTAATATGGCCGCACATGCAGAGAGGGTTATCAATTTTTCATATGTCCCATTGGGATTTTTTGGGCACGCTACTGCTCGTGAGCCATCAAAGTTTCAGAATACCCTTTTCAATGTTGCAATTGCACCGTTATTTTTTTTTCTGTCTAAAGCACGAGAAAGAACACCAACTGTGCGCACTTCGATTTCGTGGAATAGGTAACTTATTGAGGAATACATTCTTCCACGTGTTATGGAGTGCATACTTTCCTAAGTTACCATTGTTATTCGAGAGCCTCAAATGTTCTAACTTCGATTGTACGTCCCCAGCGTATGTGTTATGCATGTGTATCCACATACAGGGTGTCTGGGAATTGACTGAACATAGGGGGTTTCAAATCCTGGCCGCTCTTACCAAGGCCTCTGCTACCTTGGCCTAACGCGCGCGGCCCTTAAAACTATGCTCTTCTAGGTTGTAGGCTAGGCGGAAGGACTTAAGTTCAGTCAATTCTGGGACCCCTGTATATTAAGTGTGAAGCGAGATTCTATTGATATTCTCCAGATGTTGTAGTTAAGTATAGAAACTTAAAAATAAATACTTAGTATTTTGAATTCCAAATCTTAACGTAAGAAGATATGAGTGCGAAAAAATGTATGAAAAGCGATAATGCGACAGGCAGGTGGTGGGATTCAATACGACCTATTGGTCATCCGAGCTGCTCAATGCTGGTCAGTCGAGCTTCCAACCAGAGAGAAACACGAAGGTTAAACAGCGAACAGTGGCATAGTTTCTTATGGCGACAAAACGGCAGACACTTTCTGGCGTTAGAGTGTAGCGTATTGGATGTAGGACGCCCTATCAGAACGAGCTGTGTACCTCTGAGTGACTCATGTCACCGCTAGACGTGAATGCCTCCAAGATCTCCGAAGGACCCATCGCTCGGAAACACCCTGAATCCTGAGAACTGCGCTTTGACGGAACAGCTGACCGCCGGATCACTTTGCGGCGACTGTAGGCGGCACTCTCACTTACTTCACCACTATTGTTAGCAATTGTCCACGATGACCTCGGGTACAGTCAGGTGTGGTCCCTATGGGTTGTTTGATACATGGCCACAGGAAACGACGTGAACAATAATTCCAGTCCATATTGGACCGATACGCCAGAGACGGCGACGAATTCCTGGACTGTATCGTCTCCATGGATGAGACTTGGGTCCACTTTTCCTCCCAAAGCGTAAGGAGTAGAGACGCCAATGGAAACATCACGGCAGTTCTCCCTGCCAAAACCGTTCAGGGTCTCGGCCACTGTTTCCAAGACCGTGAGGAGATGGTCGCAGAGTTGTCAAAATCGGGGGCATCAATTTTTCATCCCTGCCTGCGACAGCTGACTACAATATATCGGTGCGGGAAGTGTGGTACACACCAGGTAGAATATGTGAAAAATAATATCGTGAACGACCCCTGCATGAGTTTTTCAATTACTTTCGTACCCCTTCTCGTTTGTGCACGTTGAGTGCAAAGGGTGAAAAAGTGAACATTTCGCGAGTTTGGGGAGCATTTAGGGAGCAGTTTGCAAATACTCTCCCGCGGTCATTTCTTTGAAAGATTCAAGTCGGGTTTGCATACCGCATTGCCTTCAGTTTGTACCTCAAAGTGTCATTATTGTCGGATGAAACCACATCTCAGGCATGCCGAGGTTATTCTTCGAGGGGAAATGCGAAAAAGCGTTTAGTTGTTGGTGTATTTCGCCCGACCTATAGATTGATAGAACTAGTCGAATAAGATTCATTTGCATAGAAATAGGAAATGCTAATTCTTATTTGGCCCCGAAGAGCACTCAATGTATTGACCCGGTATCTTCGATCAACTTCGCTAGTCGAGCTGAGCAAGGTCCATCAATGCTCATGCGTTCTTAAGCAAAATTATGAAGAAAAGGATGAAAAGAAGTCCATTGAGAAGGGGTTTTTCCTCCATGTCAGGGGGGGAATGAGGCCTATCCTCCTACCACTCTCTTTTGATGAGAGACCGGTAAAAAAAAAATATCCTGACCGGTAATCGATGATGCATTTTATCAAATAGTCCTTACAGGCAGTTTAACTGCAGCACATCTTATCCTGCTTCAAGAAGTACGAGTCTTCTCGGACTATTTGTTTGGGGTAGAGATTGATAAATGAGCTTCTGATTCTCATTTTCCACTATTTTGGCTCGCTGGTCATGACTATGAGAATGGTCGCGATCAATCATTGTGACAGAATTCTCTTTCGGAGGCCTGCCAAGAAAGTTTGAAGACATCTTCGTTTTTTGTTCAGATGGGCAGATGGGAATGATCTAGGACTGAAAATGGCTTCTTGACAATTGGGGCCAGAGGCAAGGTTTTTGGCCTGTAGTTAAAGGCAGTGGACGCTGTAATTTTCCAGTTCACTGAACATAATTTTGTATAAATAGAATATTAAATAAAATAGAAAGAGTAAGATCTCAAAATAGAAAAAAATAATAGAAACGGTTTCGTAGGTCTCTAGGAAATTCGTTATTGCTGCCTGTTTCTTTGGTGCTGGAGCTCAAGTGATAAAAGGTCTTGAAAAGAAAAATTAATGAAGGTAATAATAACCTTGTGCACGAAAAAGAATTTGAATCGTGTGGGATCACGCCCTTGAAACCAAAGAAAGAGGTCCAAGTAAGAATCACTTCTAAAGGAAAGCACAGACTGTTTTTAGCCCTTCAAGCGCTGTGTTTTGACTCGACCTCCTAAGTGATGAACGTACGGTGTACGTGAAAACGGCTCTAAGGGTTAATGCATTGTGGAAAGTACATTTTCCGCAATTTAAGTGTTTTTCTTCAGGTAATAGAGAAGACTCATTTCGTGGTAGTACTATCGCAGACACTGGTAGTCTGTGGGAACGATCTGACATGAAGGCTTTCTTACGAGTGTGCTCACATGTGAACACCCCCTTTAAATGTCTTCCTTGACAAGAAGGATTAGCTGGGATTCCAGAGCGAAGGCATACTCACGGGTCTTGAGCCTCTTGTGCCTGGTACTCTATCGTATCGTATCTTTCTTTTACCATGGCTGCTCCATCTTCCTGCGTCTCGACCTGTCCCAAAGTTGTTATCGATGAGTTCGTGTCCATAAGATTTGGGAGAATTTAAGAAGAACATCGATATCCCACACTCGTCAGGGCTTCCAAGTGCCAAATGGTAATCGTACTTGCTTGAATTTTATCCGTGGGTCCATTGCGAAGGAAGATCCAGGTAATAACCAATCGAACTAAGCCGTGACAGAATCAGCCCGCGAGATGAGATTAAATCTGTCTGTGGAGAGGAAGAATGGAGGCTGATACTAAGCAAAACTCACAAAAGTGGGGTTATTCATCTTACACACCCAAAAGTAGTGGATTAGCCTACTACATATACAGTTAATGCAATCAAAAATGTGTGCAAAAGTGAACTATAGTTCACTAACAATAGCGGATAACGATAAGAAGAGCCATTCCAACCTGTCTGGGCAATTTCTGCTCTGTCGTATTTGTTTCATTTTTATTGGGAGATTAGCATAAGGCTTCCAAATGTCATTTTAGGGCGAAGATAATCATTGCTCCAACTTTTCATACAGAACCACCTCGGCGGACTGGCAGGTGGGTGCTAGGACAAAGTTAACGAGAGGGCCTGTAGCCCCCCCCCCCCCCCCCCCCACCCGGCCAAATTACGCCTATGGATATTATATGTTATGTTGCTTTAAGCAGGAGTTCAAATTATTCTGGCAGGTATCTGTACAATGCCGATTAAAACGCTTTAACCTGGAATCGACAAAACACAAAACTGAAAAATCAGGAGACTGGAAGATAATGCCGTCCGATGTTGCGTGCATGGAGACATTGATGGATGGTGTCTAATGGATATGTTGCGATTGCTGGGTTGCAGTTACGGAGACATGGTGCCTAAGACGATCGCGGGGAAGATCGTGGGAGGGGTGTGTTCCCTCAGCGGAGTCCTTGTCATCGCCCTCCCCGTCCCCGTCATCGTGTCCAACTTTTCACGCATCTACCATCAAAATCAACGTGCCGACAAACGAAAGGCTCAAAAGGTAAATAAATCCATTGCTATAAACCTCTCTCGCTCTCGACCTCTGTTTGCTGCTAACCATTTTAGACTATACAGGGGATTGTAGACGTTTCCAGTAATTTATAACAGTGTCGTCTTTTCAAAGAGAATTGATGGTCACATGGATAGAATTGGTAAATCTGATTGGTTCTGGGAAAAGCAAGTACTCTTTCAAGTACACAATCCATTACATTGATTAATGTTTTTCAGCATGTTGAAAGAGTTCATCCCCTCATTTGCGTCCTGGGCGTGAAGACGAGTATCATCCTCATGATACTGTGTACACATTCTCTTGTGTCCTCTCCACGAAATTATTTTTAGCCTAAATACAACGTTGTCCTCCGTTTGCGATGCCAGCCACGAGTCTTTCCACGAAGGTTGATGACTAATACACTGAATAGGATCGAGATAAAACGGAGCAGGTGCATCGAGGTGCTTTCTTCGGTCATCAGAAGGTTCGTCGTATGGTTAATAATTTCTGCGATATAAGACAGAGGCCATCTGGCCCCTTTATCTCCGCAGATCTCGGCCCAGATCGCTATTCATCGAGAGTTTCTGTCGTTCTCTTATTCATCGATCCCTCTAGAGTCCTTTCATTCCAGTGTTCTCTCTTCAAGGAAGATGGAGAGATTTTGCCGGGATAGCGCTTGCTATTCGGCATTTGGCTCTTTGGAGAAGGGCCAAATCCAATGGTCTCGTTGACAATCTGTTCTCGCCTCGACATCAACCCGATCCCCGTCCAAGAAAGTCACTCCTGACAATGAGAAAAAGGAAAGGGGGAAGGAGGGAGGGGTGAGAAAGGAGGGAATCTCCTCTGGAAGATTGCCCATTGTTGCTTGTTACAGGTCCCATACGCACTTCGTTTCGACGAATCTCCTTGTTGTTGTGTGAGAGTCATATCCGCAACAGGGTCCTCAAGTACATACCTTTGAGACCATGGGGAACACGTTTCCTTTGTCAACGACAATGGCCACCAGAGGGCTTCTCTGATCACTACACTCACAGACAATTTCTGGTCGTGGAGATACCTCAAGTCAGTTGTGTATCATGCAGCACTTGCTACCTTAACTGACTTGAAAGATGCTATCCGACATCATATAGCCTTGTTAAACATTTGACAACTTCGTTCAGCTTTCAATCATGTCATCTCACTAATGCAAACCACAGTGGTCATTAATGGTGGTCACATAAGGCAGATGTAGGATCATTGATGGCCATTGTCGTTGACCGCGAATACGTTTGCCCCATGATCTCAAAAGTATGTCCATCAAATATTACTGTCATATGATGAATAGTGTTCAAGTTACAGATGTTTGAACACGCCAAGACACTTTATGGGAACCCTGTATATACACATCTCTCATATTCTTCAGAAAAAAATCTGTCCTGCTGAAAAATAAGCTGCAGCCTCCGCCTGTTGCTCTGTCCACACATCGTAAGATGACGATGGTCACGATGGCTATCACAATATTGGGCATCCAGCCTATGATATCAGATATCAAGGAGTCGTTGAATTAGATAATCTTACGCCTCCTCTGCAAATGAGACTCCCGTCATTGACATGGCGATGAACGCGAAAGAATTCGCCATATAGCATACAGCTTAGGCAAACCGCTTAGATGTTGCTGTTGCGTGTGGAGGCATTGGTTGGCAAGATCGTCGACGGTAGGCTCTTTAGAGGGCTTGAATTCATGTGAATTCAATATTAAGCAGCAATTTTTCTAGGGCTAATCTCTTTTCGGCTCCATCAATTGTGTGGAATGGGGAAAGGGAATTAAAAATATAATAGGTCAAAACTTACATTTCTATGGGGGGATATTGTCCCTGGAAATAATCAACTATAAGAAATTCATCATGAGAGGAGTTTGGTAGACGTCATCATATCTGGAGACGATCAGCTTTCGGAAGGCTTTTCTCATAAGCCCCTTGCTTTCTTCATAGCTGACTCTGCAGTTGTTCACGTTGTTTGCTTGTGTGTCAGCGGGGGAAGTGCAATACGGAGTGTGGGCCAAGCCTGTGATATGGTCGATAAGCCTAACTCTCCATTATTCTCGGAATGATTGTTGTCTGTGATGGAGAAACTGCTTTGATATGATAATGAGTGCCTTCAATGAGATACTTCGTATGCCCAAGTGCGTATTCTTGATTGTAACTTCAGTAAAGAGTCCAAATCCTGCTAAATCATACAATGAACGAAAGGAGATTGTTTTTAACGCATCACTTTTCCTTTTCTTTCTTTTATTGGATAGTTTGCTATCAAGGAAAGGTGAATATTCTCTCAATGAATCTCAACTGTACCCTCCTCCAAAATTGGAAATCAATGAAAAAAAAGAGTCAATATGAAAAACAAGAAAACCTTCTTTTGACGTCTTCCTCCTGATGTGAAGCATCATGTTCAACTTTGCCTATCAAAATAGCAAGCAAATGAGACACTTTCGCCCAAGTTTACTTTCCTTTTGTATTTTTATCGTAATTTCTGCAGCTTTACCTAAACTAGAGAGAGACTCGAGAAGAAAATTCGCTCCTCCCTTCTGTTCTGCACTCGGGTCAAGTTTGTGTTTGGATCTGAGCTGACGTCTCTACCGAGTTCGGCTCTACCTATGTCAATTCATGCGATGATGCAGAGCAGTCTGAGTCTAATACCTACAGAGTGTTCCGAAAGTTTCTGACCCACTAAAATGAAGATGGAGACGAGATTGACGGGAATATATTGACTTAATTACATTCCACATAGCCGAGAATAGCCAAGGTACCAACCATCAATACCTGATGTGATTTCCGCGGACCCAAAGAAAAATTCCTAAAATTTCTCAAATAAATCTCGGATCAGCGTCCCCGATCTCTCAACCAACCGACGGATGTCGCTCGTCACGTTTGTTTCTCATTCCACTTAGAGCCCCGGTAATGACTGACGCCTGATTTATGGGGTGGGGCTGACGCAGAGCATTCTACTGGAACCTGTGCCACAAGTGTTTCGGATGCTGAGGTCCGGACAGTTCCTTGGTAAATTCTTCGAGACATTTACCATATTCTCTTGAATGGCGCGGAATGCGATGCAAGCCTCCGAGGCATGGACCTCCGTTCTGCATCAGCACAGCCTTTTCTTGGTCTGAGCAGATCGCCCGGATCTTCATGTAGCCCGTGTAGATAAGCAGAATGTGGCTGAATGCTATGCCAGTGTAGCTGGCATAGCATTTAGCTACATCCTGCGTGGATGGATCAAAAACATTCGGAACACCCTGTAAATAGCTGGAGCAGGCCTGTTGCCTGCCTGAAATTTTCATAGGCCAACTTACAGACTGGCATTTTTCAATTCCTTTGCCCAACTTTTCCTTGTGTCCAATTGTGTAGAAATATCCATGTTAACTTTCCCGTGACATCCAACTCTGGTAATAAATTACTAACTTAGATAGACTTAATTACGGGAGAAATCCAAGGTCACGGGGATGATTGGTAAGTATGAAAAGTCTCTCGATTATATTTTGTTTCTCCTCATAAGACAAATTCAAAGTTTTCGTCTCTTAGGCTCCATCTCAAATCTAAGAGAAAAAACTTTCAGTTCTGTGCAATTTATGTCAGTATGATTACATCCCGTCCTAGCATTATTGTTCTTACCATGGGCGATGAAAGAGAATTGGTGCGATGATCTGACAGAAAATAAGGGCTACTCCGCACAGGTGAAGCTTCCTTCAGTTCAGCTTGACACATTTAAAGTTGGCCAGGACATGCATGGAACGTGTCATAGACATGGAGCTTAGGTAAACCCTGTACCGCACAATAGTATCCGACTTGAGTGGAAAAACCTCCATCCAGGTGGGGAATCTCTCCTGAGTTGGCGGGGATCCCTTCAGATGGCACGGATCACACGGGGCCTATAGCAGTAAAACATAGTGATAACCACGTAGCTGCACACTACCTGGCCCATTGCACATTTGAATCTTTGGACTTCCTAGTCCACTGAAACCCAGCTCCGTCATCACACATAGCTTCTATCTCGGAGAAAAGCCTGTACATGGGTTGCACTTCTAATCCCCACAATTCGAAAAAGTCTAATTAGTGGCTTCGCAGCACAAACCTTGAAAGGACAAGATGTCATGGATATGACATTTTGACAGATGAGGGGGAGGGTAAGGAATCCCTAGGAGAAAAGGCCATAATCTACGAGCGAAGAGATGGGAAGAATTATGCGGAGACTCCACTTTTAAGCGTAATGTAATCACGCTTTAAATCTGTCGAACTTGGAAGTTTTCATGAGGCGATCCTTTCGAGCAAAAGGTGGCCATTTAAACTGCGTTGCTGAAGTGAAACCAGGCTAACCTCTAACCTATGAAGGAAGAATCTTCCATACGACAAAGCAGATCCTCGTGCATTAGAATTTGTCCAAGCGTCTCCAAAAGACCTGCGTTTTGTCAGCTGAATGGAAGAAATTGGTCGGGTGAAGTCATGCGTGGAATTACCAGCCATCATCGGAAAAATGACCACCACGAATAAAATTGTTATTTTCTTGTCTACCGTAACTTTGTATTGTAGTCAAGTCCTTTTGAGCATTTACTATGGTTTGACTGACATTATACAGATGTAGTGTATCCGCTTAAACCTGGTATTGTTGGATATCTGCCTTTCCACGCTAATCACATTTAAATGGGGGAGAAAGGGCGGAGGGAAGGGGATGTCAATCACTCGTAGGTTGGAGACAGGCGTAAGGACTGAGTGGGAAGGAGTGAGAGAGATCCCATTATCTGAGACTAAAGCTTAAATATATTTTTGGACGCCCCCAGCCTGTGGGAGAGGTATGCTAGTTGTCATTCTCCTATGCTCTGCTGCTCGGCCATTAATCAAGGGTGTATTACGAAATGCCGAAAACCCAGATGGATAGGTGAAAGCGAAGTCAAGACTTCAAGAAGTCACTAACGAAGACTTCATCTGTATCCGAATGATTTTGGCTCTTGCTTTCGTACTATCACAAGTTGTTATCTCTTGCGA